AGGACTTGGGAAAATAATGTGGAAATTAAGACCTGACTGTCCTGTGGGTCATCTGTCAAAATTGCGTAGATAGAGAGATGATTAGATTGGCCCCTGAGCAAAGATGACGCACAGAAAGCGAGAAAATCGAGGCCTGACTTGTTGGCACATCAGTACTAAGCACGAGTAGTCAGATTTTTGCCGTATTTTTAGATTTCATGACGGTTCACCCCAGAGGGTGGGGGAGGAGGGGGTGGGTGTAGAAATGGGATTGAAGGGGGGGACTAAACGGCTGTGCATTGCCTTCTTTTCCTGTTAGTTTAATTAGCTCTTTCTGGAGTTTGTGAAGGAATTTTGGAGCGACCTTTGAAGCCAGAGTTGTTTGTATTCCAAGTTTAATAATATACTTTGTTCTAGATTCTTTGATTCTGTCTTTTGTTCCGACTTTGTGGTGGGGCTGAATGGCACCCTGCTTGGATGTGCTACTCTCGTGCCATGCCCTGCTTGGTATCCGGGCATCCAGGCCCTGCCTGGACTGCATGGCACATGATAGAAACGAAGATCAACTGTCATGAACTAATATCCGTTCATCTGTCCACTCTCTGTTGCAGCAGTGAGTCATTGCCGTCACCCAATGCATTGAAGAGATGGCTTGGAGAACCAGTCAGGGCGGCAGTCCTTCATACAAGTGTAAGTTCTTCTTGACAAAGTATTGCAAATTCTCTCACTTTTGTTCAGAGGTTCTGTGAGCAAGTTGAGTGTGTCTGTGGCCCATTCGCAGGCACTTGAATGAAACAGACCCATTGCCCAAAATGGGAATACAACAAAGACGAAACACCAAGGAAACAATGTGTTACAGCCCCTCGTTGGCTGTCCTCTTCTCCCTCTCTGCCTACAGTTTACCGGGGAGTTCTGTTTGACGATATACACATTTTCTACCTCCGTTGTTTTCCTTCTCTTTTCCCTTTTTGATGTGTATCTCACACACAAACACACAAACACACAAACACACACACACAAACACACAAACACACACACACACACACAAAGAGAGAGAGAGGGGCTTTGAACGCCTGTACCCCTGCACATCGCGATATTTTTAATGTGCTGTACTTTTGACCCATTGCTCTGATGTCTTCAGAAGAACACTTCCAAAAAACAGGCTAATTCAAAGTATCTTCTTTGCTGATGTACCCGTTATGGGCCAAGCACTTCAGTTTGTATGTTTTATGGACCAACCACTTTTTGGGCCCATCACAACGAACGTCTTTGCAAACTACACATTTCTGCGAGGCATTGATAAATTGTGGAGGTGGTTTCCAGATATCATCCGAACACGTTAGTTGCGGTCAGGTAATTCTGTGCTTTCTGGTTATCGGGGGATGTTTCTTTTTGCTCAAGGCAAGGGCAGGAAAACAGGTGGGTGTTTTGGGTGTTCGTTTGAACATAAAGTTCAAAAGGGAGTGTAGAATGGCAATTTGATATGTGATGCATTTGATTGGCAATCTGAAACGTAAGGTTTAGAAATGGTAAAGAGTCCACTGATGTTTTTTTTTTTTTTTGTGTGTGTGCATTGTCTACAGGCATTCTTAACAAACAAACGGGGCTATCCTTGTCTCTCAAAGCGACACCAAATGCTTGTCACATCCTTCTTCAATCACAACATCCAGGTAAGGAAACTTGACAGGAGGATTGCATGTGCTGGTCTGAGCCGATTCACTTAAGGTACAAAAAAAACAAATAAAGAAACCCATAAAAAGTTTAAAACTCACTAAAAGGATTTCTAGTATGACCTTTCTTGGCCTCTCGGCTAAGATCAAGTGTAGTATCTTTTCTGGTCAGTTCAATATCTGAACATGGTTTAAAAAGTTAAAAAAAACTCTGGTTAAAATTTTTTGAGACGTGTACAAATGCAGTACGTGTAGCTTCTCTGATAGGAGAACTATGCCAGATGGTTTCGTTGGTTGGGAGGTACCAAGAGCTGTCTCTGCATGATATGATATTAATATCAGGTCTGTGAAGTCATGCAGATGATCTAGATTGACATTAAAAAAAGAATTCACATCTGTGCTGCCGCTCATTCCTAATCTGCATAACAGCTCTTGGCGTTCTTTGTATGGTTCAGTGGTCGGTTTCGAGTGGGAGTTGATTGTCAAAATGTCTGCCTGCCACTGTGTGACTGCTTATGGACATGGAGCTGGTTTTGAAATCTTAGCAATGAGCTAGGAGTTGTGTTTGGACTTTGTGAGGTATTGACAATAGCAAATATCACATTCTCACAGTTTATAATGCATGATAACAATGTAAATGAAGTTTCGTCCATCGTAATGGGTGTTTGGGTGTTCTCTGTCGATTATAGGTTGTTCTGAGCGGCATGCCCCAACAGCTGGTGGATGTGAGCGAGGGTTCATCTGCTAGTGAAGGCAGTGAAAAGGGCAGCGAAGGTAGTAGTACAATGCACTCACCTTGACTGTTAGACTAGACCTCCCAAAGGGGTATGAGAACTGGAATAGGTTCAGGGAGTAGGTGTGGTGCAAAGAACTCCTTGACAATTGGAGTTCCCTATCAGGAAATTTGCCCATGATGCTTCACCCTGAGTTCTGTTGTGCTTCATTTCTGTTGCTCTATGTTTGTTTACAGTTGTCTTATTCAGTTTGCTTAATGAACTCCTCTTTCATTCTCCTCGAACTGCAACTGACCCCCCCTCCCCCCCCAACCCAACCCCACCCCCCACCCTCTTCTTTTGCACTATGAGCACACACAGAGTTGGCAATGCATAACTGGGGGCAGCATGTGGAGTGTGCCGGGCAAATGGTGTTTTCATTTTGTTGGTGCATGTTGTCTGCGATCCCTGTGCATGCTAGCGTTGGCAGTCGTTTACTTGGTCTTGATTTGGAAAATCCCCTGATGTTATGTTTCTAAACACCGGATGTTTCTGAGAACAGTCCATGTAGAATGAATGAGTGAATAAGCAAAATGTCTTTGGTTAGAGCTCCATATAGGATAGCTGGGACTCCAGGTCTGCAAGAGGGAACCATCTAGAAGCATGGGGTACAAGGATGATGGCTCTGGAGAAGGCAAGATTGTGGTTGGTTATAAGACCTGGTTGGCATTGTGTGCTGCCTGCAGATGGACAGGTGTCCGTCCACCCGCTCCGTGCTTACGTGGATTACATTTCACATTTGTACAAGAGGATGCCACCGCTGACCGAGCAGGAGAGATTTGAGGTAAGGAAAGCCTTCCGTCTTTTGTCGTCTTCCCCTGTCTTGTTTGTTACCTGATAGAAGCTTTCTGCAATTCCTTCCACTCGTCTAATTAATGGCACGGATATGGTTGAAGTTACGAATCTGGTTTGCACCCAGGTAGTTACGAATCTGCTTTGCACCCAGGTAAGTCAGGTAAGCTTCCCTTTCTCTCTCACCTCGTCCTCACACACACACATACTCTCTCTCTCTCGCTCGATGTAAGCTATGGCATAGGGTGCTCCCTACTCTAGCTATGGCTATGGGGCACTCACTCTTCTTAATCTCTCTCTCTCTCTCTCTCTCTCTCTCTCTCTCTCTCTGTGCCTCCCTCCAGTGCTAGTGCTTCAGCATCCAGGCAGATGGAGGCCGAACGAGTGGTGCCAACTGGGGCAGGTTTGACTTGTACTTGTCTGCCTCCTTGATGCGATGCGATGCGATTTCTCTTTCTGTGCGTCGAAATAATGGGACTTGGAAAGTTCTGTCAACTGCACTGATCCCCTTTGGATGTGTGTGAGATCTGTGGCTGTGGTTGATTTCTATCGTCGACTCTTTGACTACTGTGACCGAGTTGGGCCTGGCTGTTGATTTTCCTGAAGTCTACTTTTGACTCTGGAGGCATGGGGTGCCACAGTTTTGACCGTTGACCTAGTGCAAAGTGACCAAGGGACTTTCTGACGCCCTTCCAAAGGCTGTGGATGTGACTTTGGACCCTGGAAATCTGATTAGACCAAAAGTTACAACCCTAGCGCTGGCGGATTTCTTTTTTCTTCATGCTAGTCTTCTCTGTATCGTTCCAATTTTAACGGATGTCCCGAAGGACAAGGCGTATTTTGAACTCTTTGCGGTATCTGCTTAATGTATGTTCTTTTGGTATCTGCTGATTGACGTGTAGTAATGTGTTGTTTTGTTTCATGCTCTGTGTGATGATGTTATTGTCATACAGATGAGCTACCGGGACTTCTTGCAAGCTCCCCTTCAGGTAAATGCCCACCTGCTTTTTCCTGTCTTTGGATTTTGCTCTAGAGGGATCTGAGCTAAAACTTGTGAAATCAATGTCCTGACCTATTGACTATAAGCCCCCATGTAGTTCTTGTTTAGAAGCTCCGTGTGAGTTTGGTAGCTTGTCGCCCTTGGTTCATGCTTTGGGTAGCCTTTTTCCCCTTTTACATAAGACATGACCAGTATGGAACCGTAATGACGGTGCGTTATGCCTGGGAGAAGGTGAGAGATTTATTGCTAGCTGTTTGGGGCTTGTGAATGTGACAAGAAAGCGGGGTATGGGATGAAGAGCACACAGGAGGGACAAAGAAGGGGGGGGAGAAGAAAGGGCAGGTAGGCAGGTCTTAGGGATCTATTTGCTTGGCGGAGAATGCTCTTATGTGCTGGGCGAGGCCGCCCACTCAAACATTTACCTACTATAAGCCCCTGTTCTGCATAAGGACAGTTACTGTCTGATGAGAGAACGTAACACCATCTCTCTCAAATGGGTTTCCAAGTCGACAACAAGAGGACGTATGTCCGTCTTCTCCACAGATGAAGGTTCCCTGCTGCAAACAGATTGGTTAAAAAGCTCCGTTTTGTGCATGCACAAAACGCCTCGTTAACAAGCTCCATTTTCATTAAGGCTGAATCTGTTGTCGTTTTTCGTCTGTGTGTATATGTTTGAGTTTATTTGTTTAGCTTATCTACCGTCTTCACTCGAATAGAACGCCTCATAATTTGAAAAATATTAAAGAAAAAATAAAAAATAAAATAAAACGCCTCGTAATTATCACTGTATCTGGACTGAAAGTTGCACCAAGGATAGCTATAATCACCGGATGTTATAATCGGGTGAAGACGGTAGTGCAATCACTAGTCCTTGAATCATAGAGGGCAAGAGCGCAGATTGTCCTCCTCTGTTGGTTTGCTGCGGAGGGAAGGTTAGTTTCAAATGTCAATTCTTATTCGCTTGCTTCAGCGACGTGTACTCCTTTGTGTGCAATGAACTCACAAGTGTTTTGTTGAAGATGTCAGGTGCTCCTGTGTGTGAAAGGAGAGGAATTGTTTTGCTGGTGTTATAGAGAAATGAATGTTGTGGAAGAGTATGATTAGCTCTGACATCACAGTTTTTGTTTCTATTGAACGAACGAGTATGTGTGATTCCGTGGTGTCTTTTGTTCTGTGCAGCCGCTCATGGACAACCTTGAGGCACAGACTTATGAGACGTTTGAGAAGGATAATGTCAAGTACTCTCAGGTATACATTGCACTCCGGGTCCTCATTTTTCTTTTTCTTTGTAAATCAGGCCCAGGGAGTCAGATATGCTGTGCTGTGAAAGATGCTGCTGTGAAGGTTGGGGAACCGTACACTCTTCAAGGCTGGGAAAGACAGCCTGTTATTCATGCCTGTCTCATTGGCTTTTATCTTCTCTTCGCTTCTTTGTCCGCTATTGTTGCTCTATCATTTTCCTCCTAGTGGGGAAAGGTGCTTTGGAGCAAATTCAACATGTGACTTTTGGGTTGGATGGCATGGATGCAGAAAAAAGCCAGAATTGACGACGCAAGGAAAAATGCTTTTCCGGCAAAAAACTGGAAGAATATTTGACAAAAGGTGTCCAGATGCTGCTTTTGATTCGTTTTGTTTTAGTGGTTTGGCAATTCAAAAATGGGAAATATATTGGCAGCAGACTTAGGGCCGACTGGTCGGCGGTCTGACAACCACTCAGAAAACAACCATCCACTGATTTTTTTTCAAATCTGAGTTGGGGGCTGTACTGCGCTTGCTGAGTACAGCCCAAATCCGCTGAGAAGCTTTTGGGG